CAGGCAGGGACCTGCCCCCCATCACCGCCGGGTCTGGGACCCCCCTGTGCCACCCCTGCCGTTGCTGTGCCAGGGACCCCAGCTGCACCATCCTCTGCCAGGATTCAAGCCCCGGCAGCTCCAAACCCCAGACCCCCAGGACAAAGCGAGGGCTTCCACAGGGAACCAGCCACCCCCAAAAAACAAGCCGCCCGCAGCCGGCTCGGGACAATACCCGTGTCCCCGGGCACCCGCGGGGCGGCTGCCAGGGCTCTGCTCCGCTGAATCGCCGCCGTAAAAGGAGGGCTCAGCAGCCCCGCAGGGCCCTGAGCCAGGGAGGGGGGCACATCTCCCCCTCCATCCCAGAGCCGGGCACAGCCTGGGACCTCCCCCCACTGCCGACATCCATTCTGAGAGGCCGAATCCCACCCCCCTGCCAGCAGGGTCACAGCCATAGATGCCCAGGGAGCTGCTTCCCCATCAGCCACCCACACACTCAGTAAACAGAGGTGTGACCCAAAACAGCTCCATTTCCTGGGTGTGGGGGTCAATAAAGGTGCCAGTACCCTGGCTGTCCCCGTACAGGCTGGCAGGGCTACAGCAGAGGGCAGGGGAAGGTGATTCCCCCCTCGGGCAGGAGAAACAGGCCATTAAAATCCAGAGCACTTGTTTGAACGCTGCTATTTTGGGCTGTGCCAGAGAGGGAGGTGCTGCATGTGCCCCCTCCCTGGCACTGGGGAGCATCCTTGGGGTTGGGAACACCGGGAGGGGGATCCCGCAGGAGATGCCCTAGCAGGAAGGGAGGGAGGGGAGGCTGAAGCTGTGCTGGGAGCAGGGGAGCCCCTGAGGGAGCCCCCTGCCATGCAGCTGAAGGGGGGCTGGGAGCAGGAGCTGGCAGAGCTCCCAGTGCCTGGCAGGCAGCAATCCATGGGATCCTGCATCCCAGAGCTGTGCTGGGAGGGGGAACCATCCCCACAACCCCATGATAGGGGTGCAGGATCCAGCCTCCGATGCCCTTCACGGGGGGCACAGAGAGAATCTAGGACAGGAGGAGGAGCAGGGGCCCAGAGAAGGAAGCTGGGTCAGCCCGGGTGCTGCCGGGGCAGGAGCCTGGGGAACATGGTGCCTTCTGAAAAGCAAATGCCAGGTAGGAGGGTGTGAGTGTCCCCTGCCAAGAAGGAGAGGCCCTGGGGTGGCAGGGAGCCCTGCCCATGGCCCTGTGACAAAGCAGGCACGGCCAGCACAGGCTCGACAAGTTGTCCCCACCCAGGGCAGCAGGAGCTTCCTGCATCCATATATAACCAGGCAAGGTGAAAGCCAACAAACTTTATTCAGTAAATAATTACAGCATTAGGACCAGGAAGGTTTCATGCTACAGGCTATAGCAGCTCAGCAGCTTCCTTGTTGCCACTGTCCGGCTTCAGGCCCAAGTACTGCAGCAGGCTGTGGAGCTCCTGGCAGCTCCCTGCCTCAGGGATAGACAAGAGGACCTGGGGACAGCAGTGGCATTAGTGACAGCATTAGTGACATGGTGCTGTAGTCACAGCAAAGGGGAGAGTGATGAACCAGAAGCCTCACCTCTTTCATCTTCTCCTCCATCTCCTCGTGGGTTCTCAGCACTTTCTGGGCCTGATGGAGCCTCTGTTCCAGCCCTCGGATCTGTGGGGGGAGATGCCTGTCAAGAGCCTGCCCCAACACTGAGCAGGGACAAGCCCAGGAGGGAGAGGGGACTAGAGCCAGGGCAGCATGTTAGGCCTTCTCATACCTGCTCCAGGTGCTTGTTGGAGAGCAGCAGATTCTCCTCCTCTTTCTCCAGGAGCAGCAGTCGCAGTTTGTCCACCTGCAAAAAGAGTGAGCCGAGACCTCAGCGTGGGGAAGTGCCCTGGGGTGGGGGGCTCTCCCCTGCCACCCCATTAGCCCCCTGCTTGGGGTCTGGAGAGTTCCCCTGCCCACAGTGGTGGTGACGTGAGGAGCACTCAGCCCTGGCTGCCCCCAGCCTCACCTCCTGCCGCAGCAGGAGTCTCTCCTGGATGTAGGTAGTGTCTGCCTTGGGCTGCTGCCCCCGCATCTCCTCCCACAGCACCTTGGCTTCTGTCTCTGCATGCTGGAGTGAGCGCTTCAGCTGGGAGACCTCTCCCTTCAGGCTCTGTGGGGGAAAGGAGATGCTGAGAAGGGTCCCCTGGCCAGCACCCCCTGGGCACACAGCCCAGCTGGGCCACCATCACACACCGTGACTTCCCCACTCTTGTCGATCAGTTGCAGCATCTTTGCTTCCTGCTGTTTCACCACGTTCTGCAGCTCCTTCTCGTTCTGTGAGGAGGAAGAAGCAGTGTCAGTGTCCAATGCTGGCCACTCCAGCACCCCGAGGGGGAGCAGGTTTCCTTGTGTTCAAGAAGGTCAGACAAGCCAGGAGCACCCATGGGGCATCGCTAGAGCCGGTCACCCAGATTTCTCTGTGTCCTAGATCAGCACCCGTCCCAGTTTGGCTCTGCCCTGGGGTGAGTGCTGGCCCACTTCTGGCACCAGCTCACCTCTAGCTTGTCCATCAGTGCCTTTTTCAGCTTGGCAATGGTGGCAGCCTGGGCATCCATCTTCTCCTGGCTATCAGCTGTCACCGTCTTCAGATGGAGCTGCAGGTTGGAGCTGGGAGAGGAGAATGGTGCTGAGTGGGTGGGGATCACAACCGAGCATGGTGCTGGGTACCAAACCCCATCCTGGCCATCCCAGCAGCCACACAGCAACCCATCAGCCTGGCCAGCTGGAAAAAGCCCATCTAGCCATAGCAAAGGGAGGGGCAGGCCCCAGACAGGCTGCCTGCAGGAGACACCGTGCCCAGGAGAGCAGTGCCCTGGCTGGTCCCCAGTGTGACCCCCACTGAACTCACATCTCTCTCTGAAGTGCCTTGAACTCGCTCTGCTCCAGGTCCTCAATGCGGGTGCTCAGCCTGGCAAGGTCAGAGACCACAGCTCTCAGCTCCTTCACACTCTCCAGCAGACCATCCTCAGGCTCTGCAGGCAGGGCAGAGGCTCATGAGCCAAGCAGGAAGGCATCCCTGCTTCCCCTGCCAGTGCAGGCAGCCCCACAGCTTCAGAGCATGCTCCAGGGCAGGGTGATGGCCCCAGTACCTCTTGGCTTTGGTGTACACGTAGGTTTGTCCTTGGTAAATGCACTTCCACCTCCAGTAGCTTCATCAGCATCTGTGGGAGAAGGTGCTGTGCCCAGGGAGCACAGACAGAGCTCTCCCTCTCTCCCACCCACCCTGAGGAGCTCAGAGATGACCGTGGAGCAACAGCAGCCAAGCTGCAAGGTAGAGCCATGGCCCAAGTCCCAGCTGCCACAAGGGAACAACCGGGAAAATCCACAGGGAAGGCTGCAAGGAAGGATGGCACGGGGATCTCCCTCCTTGCCCGACACCGGTGCACGTCCCCAGCATGGGAGTGAGCCAGCCCCATCCCCAGCCAGGAACC